GTCATGGCAAGATCATTCTCTTGTGCAGAGGAAATATCCAATCAACAAAACTCAACAGATTGGCCTTTCAATGAAAGGAATCACTGTGAGGAGCCAGTTTCTGAAAACCCTGTGCCTTTCAATGGAGAAGTTGCTCTTGACAGCTACTACTAAGCTCAGCTCTAGAAAAGTCCATCTCAGTAACAGTTCATAGTTTGACACTGCTCCTTAGCTCCACAGCTCCATTTAAACAGCAGTTCCAAGACCTCCTCCCAAGCTCCACTAACTCCCAGAAGCAGCTGCTGAGCTATACAACCATGAACCTAGAAGGTGGTCAGGAGCATTTCCTTTTTCTCACTGGTGAAGGACCAATGCCTCCCATGGCCCAGCACACTGCCTAGAGGCCTCTCTGCACACTGTGTCAGTGACAGATAGACAGCAGCACCTTCACCTGCTTGGGTGCTGAGACAGAAACCATGGGCAGGGAAGAGCCTCCATATACAGGTCTGCCAAACCCAAGCCTTTCTTATATGCTTAGGCCACTCAGTGCTGTCCCTTGCATCACAAATCTGAGCTTTATTTTAATCTAAAAAAAGAATGGCTGACACAAGGATCTGTTTTCCCATTTCAAAATGAAGTTTGAATTAATTATCTGAAGATTGTTATAGCTATTTTGCAAATATTTTGACTACTGCAATTAGTCAGCATAGTTACTTGGATATCATTGACTACCTGTTTTCTAAGGACAGCATTCCTCTTGGCACAGGTACAAACATTACTGCATCAAGAAGCTACGTAAATAAAATTAGATTTCTACTGGGTCTGCTAAGACTCTGATAAACCACCACAATATGCAGATAATGTCCAACATGGCACGTGCAAGAATCTGGCTTTTGCTCCCTACAGAGTATGTGAATGCAGAACCTACAGGCTTCTCTCTCCTATTGCTTCAAAGCACAGAGGAGAGCTCTGAGTGCCAACTATTTTCTCATTCATTTTTATGCTGGCTGTTTTGAAATCAACATCTAGCATGGTTGTGCTACTATAACATAATCCTATGCATTTGAGCTGTACACATAGATGACTGCTCATTACCAGATTCATTCTTATGCTCTGTCTACAAAGATATTAGTGACTTTTAACAGAATGTCCTGAAAAATGGACTGGATTCATGTGCATTTGTGAACTGGCAGTTCTTTCTCTTGTGAATTCTTGTGTTAAAACAAAGCACAGTCCTTCCTCCCCCCTCCTTTCTTTAGTGACACCATTCAGTTTCAGCAAAAAAACATTTTTAACATAATGGATAAATATCAACCAATGTAGAAAGTCTTGGATTACAAGCAAAAGCTTTCTTAGGCAGTCAGTGAAATGTACTTATGCAACACAGAACAGCATCTTTCCAGTGACCCACTAAAAGGATGTTCTAGACATGGTGTAGAAAAACAGTGCCATTTCCTTCCTTTGGGAAATCCACAACAATCCCCCAAGAAAATTGCACCAGGGCACAGTGACCCAGAAGAGGACAGAAGTAGAAGAAAGAGCTGGTTTTATACAATTTGTTCTTTGATGATTCAACTGAAATACTGAGAAAAAGGAGATAGTTTCAATCCATTACATCAGTGATAAAACTAAATTCTACCATGAAGACAAGAAGCTGTGTTGCTAAGGGAAACAAATGAGAGGTTAAAATCAGCACAGAGGTCTGCAACTTCATAGACTTCCGAGAAACAAAGCAAGCATGATTCCTTGCAAAACCTTTGGTTTCATAGATTTTTTCTGTCTGTATCCCTATTTCTTTCAGGGGCAAGGTACCACTAGGCTAGAGGGGTTTAGAATCTTCTGGTTCTTCCTATAAAATGCAATGATGTTTTTCTGCAAAGTATATCCTACCTAATTTTAGAGTACTTTCAGACTCCATAGTATAAGGACACTTGTTAATTGAGTAACTGGTTGCAACAATCAATTTCTGTTTCTATCTGATGACAAATTCTTATGCTGTCTTACTTTCTATAGCTCAAAATATAGGGACAAAATAAAGGAGAGCCAAATTTATTTGGCATTTCTGACATAGAAATTCACCATTTATTTAAAGACTATTAAAATGTCTAAAAAGAATGAAGCTTTTTTTTTTTTGCCTCAAATATAGAAAAAATAATTTGAGACCTTAGTTCAAGGGATTCTAACTGTTTTGTACACAAATAATTAAATAAGGAAAGGTCAGGTAAGAAATGGATAGTGAGATTACCACAGGATGAAGTGTGGTCAATCAGTATGAATAGCTACCATTTAATCTGGCATGTTTCTGTAGTACAATGTTTATATTAAAATAATGCAGTTAGTTGATTTCATAAGGAAACCTTTGACCTCCTCCCCTATTCTAGACAATTCAGGATGTAGCATGCTATGAGCAAATAAACCCCAGGAAAAATAAGAGGGATGTCTGGCTCCATAAGAAGAATTCTGTGAGCTTTAGACTGCTTGTCCTACTTGGATGGTTACAATATTTAATTTCTCTTACTTAAGTTTCTACGATTGACAGTGGTAAGCACATGTTTTATAGCAGCACTGGCTGTAACACAGTCAGCTCACAGGGCTGCTTGGCAGTCAGTTGAATTATCCAGAATATCAAAGCTGAGCATGATGATTCCTGGTTAACATTTTGTACCCTTGCAGGCCAACAGGCTATTCATCCCAGTGAAGCTATGCACAGTCTACCTTTGAGCCTTTCAAATTATTTGCTTTTCCTGTCAGGCTGAGCCTATTGATCTTTGCAGCCTATACAAGCTCCTTTTTATATCAACAGAGAGCAATAGATGTCTCTGAAGGCTTTCTGACAGTGATTCAGAGATGTTAAAAGAGGAAGATACTTCCTACGTTGATTATGTGGAGAGCCCACAGCTTCCATAACGCAATTCCATATGTTGTGTGCTGAGCTGTGACTCATCCAGAGCTGCCAGTAGGAAGTGGTAGGCAATGGGTTGTGTCTGAGGAGCTGCCTGACTCACAGCATTACTGAAAGGCATCAGCAGCCCGGCAAGATGGAAAAGGCTGGATTTTTATCATAGGAATTTCTTTGCAACAACAGTACTAAGCCTCTGCACATGGATTGTTCAGGAACTGCACAAGAAAGATCATTTTCTTTCATGGACTGATACTTCTATTTATAATGGAAAGCATGACTAGAAAATATTTTTCCTGGCATGAAAATATAAATGTTCTAATTTTATTAGAATTGTATAGATGAAGACTTCCTTTACATGGCAGTAAACTAATTTTCAGAACACAAATTGAAAGTGAAATCTTTGGTGCAGAAATAACATTTCAGGAGTCTGACAAAATCAGAAAAAGCCATTATTCATACGTGTCCAGCAAACAGAGACCAAATACTCAGTTTTATGCAGTGTTTGTTCAGTATCTTCATGCACAAGTCACTTTGCCATTCCCTCAGCAGCTGAAGATTTTACAACATCCCTCACCTTGAGCTATACTCTTCCTGATCTTGGTGATTAACTTCCAGGAAAAGCCTTAAGGCCTAACCTTGAACATGTTTCATGCACATAAAGAAAACCACATAAGAAATGCCTTCACATTGTCTGCAGAGCAGTATCAAGTAATCCAAATGACTTCAGGATTGATCAAGACAATTTTTAAACATAATGTTACAAAATACCCCCCTGCACTTACAGACATTTAAAATACTGTACACACACACGCACAAATACTCCCAGCTATGAAATTGGTACCTACAGATTATACAGAGTTTGGGATGAATGCTTCCTGCATTCCTATAGTATCCTGTGATCTATGAAACTCCAGACTTTTCAACCCTAGCCTTTGGTTTAGTTATCCAAACACTTAGCACCTAGACATGCAATATATCAGTTGTAACGCATTTAGTACATGAGAAAACTCATCTATTTCAGAGTATATTGCCTGAGCAGCGCCCACAACAAACCTGGGCTCAATTCTCCTGGGAATATTCAATGAAGTTCTAGGTCTATATCCTATTTTCTAGGACTTGGCTGCCTAAGGCAAGTCATCAACATGTGCCAACTACAGTTTTGGTTAGTAATCCACTTAAACCTGCAACAGGGAGAAATCCTATTCCATGAAGACAGAACTTTCTCAAAGCTGGTGCTCACCTGGGGAGTACATTGTCTACAAGATCTTACAATCTCACTACTTCTCATTCTCAGAAGAAGGTGGGGTTTTCCTGCCCATGACTTCTCAGAACATTCAGAGAACCACGTGCATATTAAATACACATAATTCCAGACCAAGAGGAATTCCCCCAGAAGAGACTTTTGGGCATCCTTCCGAAACAGGGCAACATGTGCAAGAGTGAGTTAGATTCCTCAGTGCACTCCAGAAGGACACCTGAGATCCTACAGAGGTCAAAAGGAGGCAGGTAGAAAACCAAGTATATGAATAGATAAAGCTCAGCAGAAAGTTACTGATGCTCAGCGAACACTATTTCTACTGTTTCAGATTCTTTCACTTTCTGTTCCGATTATCATCTTTCATATATATATATGGAAGTCATTTAAAAACAAATATTGTTATCAGTTTGATTTGTCTCTGGCACACGGTAACATTCCGGACTCCCCACCACACTGCCACCACCTCTTTGCGTAGACGCAGTGGAGTCAGCAGGTTCAGCCGGCCGGGCTCGCTGCCCGCCGCCTCCCGCACAGCCCCGAGCCCCCGGTGCCACCGCACTGCCCACGCTGCTCGCACGCCCCGCGAGCCGCTCCCGCCCGTTGTTCCGCCCTGCCCGGAGGAGGGCTATTTCCGAGAGGCCTCCGCGGGTCGCCGCCCCTGACACCGGGGCGAGGACGAGACGCTGGCCGGGCCGAGGGGCGGATGGAGCTGCCACGGCTGCGGCCCCGGAAGGGGTACCAGCCCCTTGTCGCTCTGCCCGCAGGGGCCGCTGGCGCAGAGCAGCGGCATGGAGGCGGGAGCAGCGCCTCGCCGGCTCCGCGCTCCGCACTCCCCGCAGCGGGAAGGGCGATGCTGCTTACCGGGTCTCGCATCCGTGCGAGCGGCGGCTGCCGTGGACAAAGAGCGAGGCGGAGGAGGCAGGAGCGCCGGGGCGGCCTGGCCCTCTTGCTTCTCTTTCTCTTCCTCCTCCTCCCGTCTCGCCTCGCCTAGCCCCGCCGGGACGCGGAGCCCGGGCGCCGTGAGCGGGAGCGGCCCCGGGCGGGCAGGTGGCGGCGGGCACCGAGCGCCCTGCGCCGCCGCAGCCGGGCCGTGTCACCGTGCGGGGCGAAGGGAGGAGCCTGCGCCGCGCCGGGAGAGCGGCGTGGCCGCGTCCCGCTCTGCGCTGCGGGCTCCGGCCGCCACCGCAGCCCCGGAGCTGCCGGGGGGCGAGGGCAGAGCGTGCTGGGGTGCAGCATGGTCCGTGCGCACCTGAGATGTATCCCCTCCGCATTTCCCACGGTCCCGCTGTCAGCCCGGCCATCATTAATCAGTCCTTATCTGCTTGGGTACCCGAGGTTATGCACACCTCATCTGGGCTCTACTGAACTTTGGGAAGGGCTAACTGAGAGGAAACAATGTTAACCCCTTTACGAAGGAAGCTGTGGGTAATGAGAAAAGGACGAAAGTTAAACTGGAGGTATGGTTGTCAGTGTGGAGCTGTGGTACGAGGGAAGAAGCATGCTAGACAGGAGAGCCTTCCTCCGCTGAAGCAGAAGAGGTAGCCTGAGTTTCTGAGTAGGCAGGGCAGGGCACTGGGCTGGTTTAGATCTCTGCTGGGAATGTTCAGCCAATGCAGCAGTTACTCACTCTGCGATAAGTTTGGGCGACCTTCCTGTTGTCTTCCTGCTGAACTTGCTCGGCAGGTATTGATCATATTGACACCTTTCCTGGACCCCAAACCTGGGCATGGAAGTCTAGACAAGATCTAAGATACTTGTATTTAGTTCATTCTGCACCCTCAAACACAGTAATGTCATTTTCCTTCCCTCCTTTCATTGTATGTGAGGATGTTCTGGCTGCTTGGCATCTCGGCCTTGAAGTACCACTCTTGGTGCTAGTGCCTGTGGAGTGAGACCACAAGTCTTGGTCCTGGCTTTAAGAACAAGAGGGACTGGTTTGGGCAAGCAACAAAAATCCACTGTGTTAAAACACTTGGTATCTTGGATTTGGCTGAGAGAGTTATGAAATAGAGGTTCCAGTCTGTGCCATGGAGGATTTTCATTGGAACTATTGAGTAAATCCTATCCTGAAGCAGACATAGAATGGATACTTTCAGTGCTGCAAGGATTTTGTCTGGGTAGCTAACAGTTTTCCAAGGGGAAGTGTAAAGAATGGGTACTACTGTTGTCCAGACACTGTGAATTCAAGGACTGCCTTTCTGTTGGATGACAATAAGAAGATAATGTTTAGTTGCAGGAAACTTTGGTAAATGGAGATCCTATCAGATGGGTATTTGGAAACTGTCTTCCATTGGAAAAACTGGCAATCCCTTACTCAGTTATGTCAGAGCTGAAATTAGGCTGAACATTAGGCTGATTTATGTGTTAATATTCAAGACACTGCACATGGTGTTCTTTCCCAAGAACTGTTGGTCACTGACCTGAATATTTCCCTGTAACTCTTGCAGGGTGTGTCTATGGCTGGTTCTTCTCGTACAGCATGGGAAGATGCTCTAAAAAGGTTTGAACCTGATGTCCTGGGGCAGCCTTTGGTGGCTGCTTCCAGAATGAGTAAACGTAATTTCAGACCTGTGTCCGCACAACCAGATTTTGAGGAATGGCTACATCCACCTTCCTTCATAATCTTGAAAAGGCAGTCCCCAGTGTGTGCCCACTGCTTTCTTCAGTTGGGCAGAGCCATGTGCTCTGGTTCATGAAGAATCAGTTCCAATTCATTTTAGCCTGGATTCTGAAGAAGGTAAAAGAGACCACTGGCGAGGGTAGAAGGAGTTTAGGACTGTGATTCCCTTTCCTTCCCTCCCTTGCACTGTACGTTCTGTGCAAAGTGACACTGTCAGGTTCATCCTGTGCACCTTATCTGAATGCTGTCTGCTGCTGCAGAAGTGTGAATGAGAGCAGAGGTGAAGGGAGGCCCTCAGAGAGCCCCTGTCTTCCTCTTCACCTAAGCTGGAATTGTGGGTCCTATTCCTCCTGCCTTCAGACCTGAGCCCCTGTCTGTATTGGGTGCAGTGTTTGTTGTGCCAGTGCTGGGTCGGCCCTGCTGCTTTATGGAGGTGAGCCAGGTGTGTTTTGAGTTCCCTGGGGTGCTCAGGACACTGGGATTTATAAATGATGTGGTGTAGGCAAGAGTAGCCACTCTGTGTCTTGGACCGCAATGGTCTCCAGAAGCTGAGAACTCAGTCCCCAGTGGTTCCACACGTTGCTCGAGGAGGTGTGTCACTTGCATATGTTTGCATGAAGATGTCCTTTGCATGTGTTTTCTGTAGTACGAGAGACAAACATGTTTTGTTTATATTGGTCTTTATCTCCCAGATTATTATCAAATGGGTTTCACTTTCCACAATTCTTGACTGAGGAATCTGGGTTTATGCCCCCACCCAGAAACACCCACAGAGCCAGAGCTCTCCTGACTTCCCATGTAATGATGAAGCATCTGGTGTGATCTTTACCCCCTGGAACAGTCTTATAGACAAGCACTGACATGATGAACTGAGGACCTAGGAGAGCTTCAAGTTCTTTACTGATATTGGCAGGCATATTTATTGAGGAGGATGCAGTTGCCTTTTCTGTGTAGTTTGCTGCTATGCCTGCATCTTCTCAATCCCCAGTTGCCAGGTTATGAGAGTGAAGACAGTTGTGCTCTTTGTAGTAAGAGGAATAACAGTGTGAGGGTAAGAGAGTATCTGCGCTGATCCAACAGTCAAGTGCTTTTTTCTCTGACATATATGTTTTGGTGTTGGATTTCTTTGCATTTCGACCAGTATAGCCAGCTCCTGTCTGCTTAGATGCCAGAGTAGTTGAACAAATGAAAATCTTTGGGGTCTTCCTTGCCGCTGTTGGTAAAGTGAGGAGAGGAAAAAGGGGAAAACGCTATCAGGATGGCAGATGATTCACTTCAGCAAAATACACTGAAGAAAGAAATTATATCCTATTTTGGGTTTTCAGGGGAAATCACCTTTGTCTCAAGTGAAATATGTAGTACAGGTCAACAAGGAAACAGAAAATGAAATCTTAGCAAAATCAGTCTCATAAAAACGGAAATCTTCCAAAGTAAGGGATCCCTGAAGTGTTCTGACTAAAATATTTGTACTTTCCGTGGTCATTTACATGTACCTCAGCTTCTTCAGAAAGACTGCAGTCACCAAAATAGTGTAACAACATAGGAAACAATGGAAAAAATGGAAAAACAATTGTCAGTAGTTTGTAAACCTGTACACCTATCCCGAGCCCAATAATCAACAGCTAAATAGAAATCTCTGGGGTTTCTACTGCATGAATTAAATCCTTCTGTGGCACTTTAAACATATTTTCTTAGTAGTTCAATGATTTTCAGATACATTTTCTCAGTTGCATCAAGGCCCCAGATGAAATCTTGATGTCCCCATGTAGGAAAATTCTCGTGGTAAATGAGATTAGTAATCCGAGGAAGTAGTCTTGCCATGTCTTTTGGATTTGCAAATTTGTCCTGTCCACCACTCCAAACAGCAGTTGGTATCTTTATCTCTTCTATTGTGTACACAGGAGGAGCAGTCTGTAAGACAGGGAGGAGACCTGAGTGAGTGCTGCTGTATCAAAGCTGTGTTTAGAGAAAGGTTTCTGTGCAAGCACCTCTCTTTGTTTTTGCTTCTGCACTGCCTACAATAAAACCGTAAGGATGAAGGCCACCCTCTTATTGTTCATTGCCCTAACCCCTTTCCCTGCCGTGCTTGTCATCACAGAAGAAGCTGAAGAAAACCAGAAGATAAAAATGGAAATCATCTGAGATCTGAACAAACGAGTTAATGCAGGATGGTTGTTTGTCCGTGTGGTAAGGGACCATGCACAAGATGTTTTTAAACTGACCCCTATTATCAAAGGGTGGTTCAGTTATCTTTCTTCTTGACTGCTTTTTGGACAGTTTCCTAACCTTCCACAATACTGGGAATAAAACATTGCCCATTCTGAGATTTAAACTTCAGGTATTTAAAGACCATATGTGGGTATGAAAGGTGTCTGAGAAGGAAGGTGTCTTTGGAATCTTTATCCACCTGTAAAATAACGTGCCACCCATGAAATAGCCTGCCCTGACTCACAAAGCTCACTACAAGTCAACTGATCTGATCAAACCTCAAAAAATAATCGGGCATGTTATAAGTGTTGCAAGAGGAGCAGGGCATTTTGAAGTGTTGACCATGCAGTAACTAAAGCTCCTTCCGACCAAACTTTGCTGTTTCCTTTTTTTCATACAGGATGCTTTAGATCTCCCCAGCAGTCTCCACTTGTCATACTGAACCATTACTTAAGTTTAATTTTTACAGCAATTATCCTCTGAAAACCAAGATATTCATTTCCACCCTTTTTTTTTTTTTTTTTTTTTTAATTCTTTTACCTCCCATTTCAGTGTTTAATTGAAAGGCAGACCTTGAAAATTTTTGGGAAAGAGCTGTGCACTTATGCAGTCCTGGAACCTGGGTGTGGCTCTTAGCCTTTTGGGAATGGCAGGGGAGCTGACACATCCTGGTTGGACACATCCTTGTGTCTGTAGGGGAGGCTGCGAGAATCTGTACATGCCGTGTTTATAAATAGACTTTGACAATTATGAGTATTACATTCAGCTGAAACTTTACCTAAGACCACCCTCCCTGTCTTTTTGTAGCACTCGAAGTGCTAATATATGAATTTTTCTATTCTTAGTTTTTGCAAGGACCCAAGGATGAGTTCTCAGCAAAACGAATTGCCTTACCTGGTTGTATTTCTTCATGTTTTCCTTACAGCCATAGTCATAAGCTTGAAGTTGGTCTGCATGTAGGATCTGTTAATATTGTAACAAGGACAGATAAAATGAAAGTGTTAAAAGACAGAGAGCAGGAGTTGTTTTCTTGCATATGATTGAAGTCAAATCTCAGGCAGTAGCCAGGATTCC